TTTGGGGACATTCCAAATACCTTTCCTGAGAATTATCAACATCAGATGATCCCACACCTGTGTCACAAATTCATTATATGCTCACATAATCTTAATTCAAATCCCAACAGTGGAGGCCTGAGGCTGATGCTGGGAATCATCCTGTTCACTGTCTATCTTCTTCAATGGGGCAGGTCTCTCAGTCAAACCAGAGTTTGCTGGTATGGCTAGTGTTGCTTGCCAGCTTGCTCTGGGGATCCCATCTCTGCCTTCTGTGAATGGAATTACAGGCAGACCATCACTCCCACCTGGCATTTACATGGTCTCCAGTTTTCAGACTTTTTTGGCCAGGAGTTAACCACTAAGCCATCTCCCCAGCCCCTTTTAAATTGTTTTCAAGTCATGATGTTTTAATTTTGTTGCTTTTTTCTGTTTTATTTTGCTTTGTTAATGTATTAGGGGGAGCAATCTATCTTTTATGTATATACTCTTGGAGGACACTTTGAGACAAACATGTTTGAGTCTGGAATGGGGGTTGGGAGCCATGTTTGTGGAGGGAGGTGACTTTTTAGTGAGTTTAAACAGCAAATTATAATTTACTAATATAATAAATATTGTGTTTGGCCCTTAAATTGCTCATGCATTCTTATCTTTTTATCCCTATTACTATTCATTCATTTACTTGGCAGCCTCCCCATAGGGGACACTCTGCTCTGTCTGGGACCATATCAGGAACACCAGCTTACTGCCTTAGTGGGGCATCCCCAGTCAGTTCTGCTAGAAGTCTGTTAGCCTCCAATTTGATGATGTTACTGTCTTCTGTTATTTGTACTTAAGAGCCTTACCCTAAAAAACACTCTATTCCACCAGGACTCTATTGAAAACTCCAGCTAAGCGACTCAATGGGGATTCCCCAGTTGATTTCTGCTCCACATTTTGAGCACCCAGTTTGACAGTGTTTTACTATCTGTATATCTCTCACACGCTATTCAGTCTTTTCCTTTAGCTTGCTGTTGTGGTAGTTTGAATGGGAATAGTCCCCATAGGCTTATTTATTTGAATGTATGGTCCCTAGTTGGTAGAACTGTTTTGGGAAGGATCAGGAGGTGTGACTTTGTTGGAGAAGGTGTGTCACTGGGGGCAGGCCTCAAGTTTCCAAAGCCCACCTCTAGGCCCAGCCCCTCTCTCTCATTCTGCTATGTGCTTATGGATCAAATATAAGCTCTAGGCTACTGCTCTAATGCCATGCCTGCCTGCCTGCTGCCACGCTCCCTGCCATGACGGTCATGGACTCACCCTCTGACACTGTAAGCAAGCCCCCAATTCGGTGCTTTCTTCTATAAGCTGCCTTGGTCATGGTGTCTCATCACAGCAATACAACAGTAACTAGGGCAGCTATCTAGTTAACAAATTCATTCAAAACCAAAATAGGACTGTCACAGATCATTCTCCATATCACACAGAACGTAACTGGCATAGTCTCTGGATTTATGAGATGCCAGGGGCCTTTAAATATTACTCCATGATTGCAGTTTTAGATACTGAAGACATTTGTCCTCCTTATTCTTAGAGTGAACATGTGGGGCACCAGGTGTCTACGGGGTGCACCACCGCTCCCTTTATTAGCAATCCTATCATCACCATAAGCCACTTTCTCTTTTTATGAGTTACTTCTTTAAATCAGATACAGTATCTCATAAATTTAACAATATGTGTACAGGCAATCTTAATTTGCTACACTGTGCCATGTATGTAATTTAGATTCAGCTTTTCTTTACAAAAAATAAAGTTAAAACACAGTAAGTAGGCAAGGAGGACGTTGAAGGGTATTCAGATAAGGTAATATTTTGATGAAAGGGGTAAAATGCTTTAAGTAAAGATAAATTTTATATAAGATTTTTGTTCTAAATAATTAAAAATAAAAACAGCTCCCCAAAATGTATAAAGCCAAGTCACAAAAAATCTGAGTTATGCAATGTTAATAGAGGATGAGACTTAGATAAGATGTGGTTAATGATTAAAAGTCATTAAAATTCCTAAGGTTATATTGATCCACTCATGCTAATATCTACAAAAGCTGACTTAAAAATAGAAAAATGTATACCCAATAAAGATAATTACTTGTGTTTTTGCTAACTTTGTTAGGCTTTTAACAACTTGAGTAGACAGTCCAACAATAACAACAAAAAAAGTCAAGATTTTTCTTAAACGGAGCTTTATTTAAATATCACACAAAGGTTAAAAGTACAAACTGATAAAACCCTCTGCGTCTCTAACTACTGAAGCTTAGCGGCTTTACACCCATATTGATAAGTCACTAAAAGGATAGCTGACATGTTGACCCTTGACTCCAGGATCAACCAACACCCAGGGGTCTATGGGACCTCTGTGATATGTCACTTGTCCTCTTGATCAGGAAGGTCATAGTCTCCAAAGACTGGACTATACCCAGCATACACACTACAGGAGACATCATCAACTGAGAGGGAAATGTTCCCTAATAAGTCCTAACTCATCTCCACAAATGATCCAACTTAATTAAAAAAAAACAAAAAAAAGTACCTAAGAGTACAGAAGAGTAACCTTTGAAAGTCTTAATTTTAACTTTTAAAAAGTGGATCTGTAGCCATCTATATGGTCTTAAACACCCCCACCCAAGTAACCAAAACAATTACTGTCCTTCAGGTAACCGCTTTTAGTCAATTAAAAGAGGCAATCTGTGAAATTCCAGAAAGTTACTACCTGGGTTCACATGCCCCAAATGAAACCATGTTCTCCAAAACCCACACTCCAAAACAAAGAAAGAAAGAGCAACCCACTAAAACAGTAAACCAATTAAACACGGTCTCTTCAAAAGTCACACTCCCCAAACCGGTTTTGCTTGGAACGCTCTGTGGCTCAGAAGCTCCAACTGAGTGTCCTGCACTAAATGGCTTAAGTGTCTAATCTGGTACTGTACTGTCTTCCTGCTGCATGCTCAAGAAACTCCTGCTAACACCCCAAACGCAGCTAGCTGAATCAACCCCCTTCTCCACACACACCAACATTCATGAGTCTATGACTTTCATCCATACCATCCAGAAGACGTAAGAAAATATGGGACTCGTTGACAATAGCAAGCAAAATTAAAAGTTCCTAAGAATATTCCAGAAAGAAATAGTCAAGAACTATATGAAGAAAACAATAAACTCTGAAAGTCATAGAGCATGACGGACTGTATTCCCCAGCAGGGAATTTTGATACTATGAAGATGTCCAAGCCTTTCATTTCCTAACATTAGTTGATAATGTCAGGTTAGCCTCATCAAAATTCCAGTTGGATTTTTTAAAATGTACCGGCATGAACTGGCTATCAAATTTGTACTGAAGATTTGAGAAAAATGTATTAAATTTTTTTTAAACCAAAACCTGAAAAAAAAATCTCAAAATAAACCACACCATTTTAGTGGTTGAAACTGAATTATATTGGTGTGTAGAAAGTCAAACAGATAATAAAATTGTTAACAACATACTCATATATAAGAGAATTTAGTTAGCAGTAAAGGTGTTTTTTCAAATCCTTGGGATAAAAGATGTCTGCTCCCTATTAGGGAAATAAATTAGATTCTGACTTCATAAAAAATAAAAAACAAATCCCAGAGACAATGTTAAAAAAAACCTCTAGGTAAATAAATAAGAAAATACTGATGCAATAAAAAGCTTTTCTTACTAAAAGACAAGAATCCTTAACTATGAAAACAATTTTACACCTAGAAATTCAAAATTCTATACACAAGGCATATTTTAACAAGCTATAAATCAAACCAACATCATAATTTTCTATATGGAAAACATATTTATAACATATTCAACAAAAGATTGAGATCTAAAATGTTTGATTTGTAACAGAAAAAGTGAAGTATATGAACGACCATCTTTAAAAACAAATTATTGGTCAACCAGTTTATAAAATGATATTCAATCAGATAAGTAGCCAAAGAAATTTTAGACCATGAGCTATGCTTCACTGATAAGACTGGAAAACAAAAGATTGGTTCTATTCGGGTCTAGAGAGGTGAACACAGGAGAGTAAGTGTGCTTTCCTGGGAACAACAACTCACCAGCTTTTATCCAAAGTGTCGACTCCATTTGCCCATCATTCCCTTTCAAGATTCCTGCAGAAGTGGTTGCACATATTCATGAACAAAACCGTGTATCACAGGCTTCTTCAAGTGAGCTAGAGTTTAGGTGCAACCATCAGGCCGTGTGGAGTCTACCTCAAAGGAGCTTTCACGAGGTCAGCGTTGTTGCATTAATTTACCACCCAGGGGCTCTCCTCACTGGAAAACACTTGAAGTCACATGAGTAAGGGCTTGAATACTCAATCATATTGCAGAGAAGAATGCGGATGCTTGAAAATAATATGCCAAATCTAGCTACCAAATCGAGCCCATCATTGTATGAGTGTGTGTCTTCAGAGTGTACATATCTATAGGATATGAAAACAGGGAACTTACTCTCTCTATGGACCTCCCCACAGCTAATGAGATTACCATCTTTTTTCTTTTTGAGACAGGGTTTCTCTGTGTAGCCTTGGCTGCCTTGGAACTCACTCTGTAGACCAGGTTGACCTCAAAATCACAGAGATCTGCCTGCCTCTGCCTCCTGAGTGCTGGGATTGAAGGTATGCGCCACCACCTCCCATCCCCCAACTTGAGGGCTAACACTTGTCATTGTCTCCACTGGTGAAATTAAGACACTGTGTGATTCTCAACCGAAGACATTGGGTCCTTTACAGAACTCTTGAACATTCAAATTCACATTTAGTTTCTTTTTCTTTTTTTTTTTTTTTTGTTTTTGTTTTTGTTTTTTCGAGACAGGGTTTCTCTGTGAAGCTTTGCGCCTTTCCTGGAACTCACTTGGTAGCCCAGGCTGGCCTCGAACTCACAGAGATCCACCTGGCTCTGCCTCCCGAGTGCTGGGTTTAAAGGCGTGCGCCACCACCGCCCGCCCGGCCCTTTTTTTTTTTTTTTTTTTTTTTTTTTTAACTTAAGCAGTCTTTAATGAAAGTTGTGTATGAGATGCTCCCACTCCTGCATCTTCTCAATTGTTTCTCCCTTGTGTTTACCCTTCATTCCTACGGGCGAGACTCGGCTTTCCTTTCCAGGACCTTTTAGCGGTCTTCGTCCAGCTTTAGCCTGGTGGTAACCACCTTGCTGGGGTGAATGCCCGCATGGAGAGTTGTGCCGTTAGCCTTTTCTCGCTGCACTTGTTCAGTGTCGATGACGTATTTCTTCCTGGACACTTGGACCACTTGGCCAGTCTGCTGGCCTTTGTAGTGTCCTCGGACAGCCTGGACTTCATCATCCTTTCGAACGGGCATAGACCGAACATTGTACTTCTGTCTCAGCTCTTTGGAAAGAGGGGAAGACATGATCTTCCTCCAATGTGAGAAGGTGCATTGAAATGCCGTTTGCGGCTCTTGCTTCAGTTGGAGGTCACAAAGGGATTAAACTTCATTTTGGCCACTGTGATTCAGCGATGGCCACCACGTTTAGTTTCCTATAAATCATTTTTTTTTTCACCTTATATGATAGGTAACATTATTTCTCCCCATTGAAATGACTATGTCCCATGGGCTTTCAGAAGCATTTTCGGATGACTAAAATTGTCTGACTATAAAGAGTCTAGTACACAGAATTTTTTGAACATTTGGGAAGATGGAGAAGTCCCTGGGCTCCACATTCCATTGTGTCTCAGGAACATGAGCACATATGTACCAAGTGTGTTCAGTTTTCACACCTAAGGTGTAGGATTTTAGGGGTAAAGGCATAGGACATCTTTGGGTTCCTGCCAATTAGGAAAAAGAAAAGGGAGGTTGGAAGAATCCCCAGGGCCGTGGTCTTAGTTAGAGAAACCAGTGTCCAAAGACATTTGGGGACCATTTTGCCTTTGTTCAACCTTATTGTTTAGATAGCCTGCTCTTTATGTGGAAATATGTTTGAAAAGCTGGATTCCAAAGTCAACAAACTGAGACTCTGCAGCGGGTAGTGGAGTGGACTGCACAGGCAGTCTACTGCTCAATAGAGAACAGACCATGTGAAATTGCATAGAACTAATTCGATGGCAAGGAATGACAGTCAAAGGCATTAAGAGAAAAAAAGAAATCAGGCATTGCCATGCCAAATGAAAACCCTGAAGGTCAATCTCAGTTCAGAACTGCCTACAATATCCAAGCTATGTCTGTAAACATGTACTTGATGGCATTTCAGTGTCACGCCCTTAATAAAGAGGAGGATCAATTCTCTGAAGTGACTGGCTTTTTAATTTATTATGTGCTATTTTCCTACAACATTGACCTTCCAGGCAAGATCTGCTCACTGTTGTACTAGTGGGATGAGGTTGTGGGAGTAACCAACCGATTTTGGGTTGGGTTTGAGGCCTGCTCTGCAGGAGGGAATTCACACTGGGCCGAAAGTCTGTGGCTTGGAATGTCATAGACCCTAGTGGAAAATCTAGGAAAGCCTTGCTAAATGGTCTGCCTTCTAACTATCTAGTTTACAGGTTAGTGTTCCTCAACCTTGGCTAGAGAAGCATCCCCGTCTGTAGTGGCCAGCAGTCAATGCAGAGGCTCACAACTAGTCAAAGTGTTGAAATAAGTAAGTGCTGAGTACTCAGTCCTAAATGAGACATTTATATCACCACCTATCCACTGGAAAGGTTCAAGGGACATATCACCACCACCTATCCACTGGAAAGGTTCAAGGGACATATCATCACCACCTATCCACTGGAAAGGTTCAAGGGACATATCACCACCACCTATCCACTGGAAAGGTTCAAGGGACATATCATCACCACCCATCCACTGGAAAGGTTCAAGGGACATCACGGAAGAAGAGGTAGAAAGAGCGCAAGAGTCAGAGGATGGGGAAGAGTGTTGTGAAATGCTGTCTTTTGATATGGTATGGCTACTGCGCCCCTGAGCTCACAGCCACTGTGGTTACCTGCCTAAGACCAGCACAATGTTAAGTCAACAGGATCACTACATTCCATCAGGCAGCACTACCTGGACTCAGTGGGTTTCAAAAAGGAGTATGGGGGGGCATGAAGTAGAGGGGGTGTCTTAGTACCTGGGAGGGGATATGATTAAGATACATTGTTTACATGTGTGAAACTGTCAAAGAATAAATAAAAGACAGCCTATTAAAATATATTATTTGTCAGCTGGGCATGGGGGCACACGCCTTTAATCCCAGCACTTAGGAGACAGAGGCAGGTAGTTCCCTGTGAGTTCGAGGCTAGCCTGGTCTACAATGTGAGTTCCAGGAAAGCCAAGGCCATGTAGAGAGACCCTGTCTCAAAAAAAAAAAAAACAAAAAACAAAAAAAAAAAAAAAAACCAAACAGACAACCCCCCCCAAATATATGTTATTTGATACCAAAGATGTATAATAACATTAAAGTCAGAATGTAGTTTTTTTTTTTTTTTTTTTTGAGAAAGAAAACCGAAGTCTCTTTCATTCTGATTCACTGCAGGGTACTGACATCATCTGAAGCCCAAACTTTGCTCTGTGGTTGCAACCTTAACAGCCTCATGTCTGCCTCACTGGAGGCTGCCAGTGAACGACTGTTACCCCACAGAGCAAGGACACAGAGGAGAGCACACATAACCTGTGGGTGACCTGTGCTTGATCACGCTTGTTTTGGTAGGAGTTGCAAATGCAAAAGGAAAAGCAAAGGGGTGATTTGGTGACCATTAATCTCACTGAGGTGCTTGCCAGATGTCTGCCTTCCTCTGCGGAGGAATAATGGAAAGAATAAAACAAATATGATTACATAACCGGAGCGCCAACCCCAAAAGCATTCAAACTACTCTACCTGCCAGTTAAGGCTGACGACTCACTAGAATCATAACGAAGTTTCTTAAGCCTTCTGTGCCTTGGCTGCCCTACCTGTGGTGCATCTTCTCTGTATCTCAAAGTTTTAACAAACACGGGTCTCAAATTTGGAATGGCTTCCAGGCACCTGGCTCAGACATTCAACAATTACTTACCCAGCAGGGCTCTTCCTCCGGGGCAGGCACTGTTTCGTAACCATAATGCAAAAGTCACTAACACGTTGGTATAGCTCAGTCATGCATGTGATGAATAATGGTCAGAACAAGGAAACTTGCATTTCCATCACCTCAAACATCAGCTCTTTTGAGTTAGAAACATTCACAATTCTTTCTACTGGTTCATTTGAAATGTTAATTAGTTTTTGTCAAGCACTGGTACCTTGCCATGCAAAGGAACGTTAAAGATTCTTCCTGTGCCATTGCCCTGTCCCTCTCTAACTGCCTACCCCCATCCTCCGTCTGTCCGTTCTCCTCCTTTTCTCTATGTGGAGGTTGGAACGAACATCTCCCCCACAGGCTCCTGGTTTTGAACACTTAGTTCCCAGGTTGGTGGTGCTGTTTGGGGAGGTTTACGAATTGTGGCTTTGTTGCCAGAAATGTGTCACTGGAGAGAGTCTGGAGAACTTAAAGACTCACACCATTTCTAACTCCATTGTTCTCTCTTTGTGCTTGTGAGCACCACATGGTGACGATGGACTCCTGTCCCTCTGGAACCGTAGTCCCAAATAAACCTTCCCTTCTCTATGTCGCCTTGGTCTTAGTGTCTTACATCAACAACAGGAAAGGACCTAGAACACTCTAGTAGCCGCTACTCTGCTCTCTAGATCTGTGAAATCAGCACTGTTAGTGTCTGATTAAACTGAGGATGTTCAGTATTTGTCATCCTGTGCCTGATCCCTGTTGTTTAACATGAGCCTTCTAGGCTCACTCATGTTGCTGTAAAGGACAGGATTTCATTCTTTTAACGACTCAATGACAGTCCATCGTGTGTGTGGTTGTACGTGACTGCAATCCTGGCCCTCAGAAAGCTGAGGAAGTAAGATCATGAGTTCAAAGCCAGCTTAGGCTACATAGTGAGTACAGCCTGGACTACATAGCAAGACTCTGTCTCAAAACACGACATACATCTATGTACACATATGTGCATGTACACAGGTATCTGTATGTTACACATGTGTATACATGTACATAGACTCTGCATGTATATATGCCATAATTTCTCCATGCATTTCCCCACGGAGAGATATCTCGGCTGATTCCACATTTTGTCTATTGTAAAAGGCAGCTGCAGTAAACATGGGGTGCAGATAGCTTGAGGCCAAAATATGTGGCCTTTGAGCTTAGCTTAAATCAGTACTCTTCTCTCATCCCCAAACCTGAACTATGATCCTTGTGAAGCACCGTACAATTCATGTGCACAAGAGAATGCTTCAAGAGAGAGAAGTCAGTCAGACCATGTTTGTAACCCAATTCAAACCTGCTTAATCCCTGAAGATGTTTGTAAGATACTTTTGAGCAAAGTAACCCCAAAAGCCACACAAGTCACAAATCACGTGGATAGCTATTGTTGAGACATTCAGGCAAGTCTCTCCCGATTCTCAAGCTTCAATCTACAGTAGGTATAATCACTTCCTCAATAAATCCCAAACTTGGCTTCATACAGACATTGTAAACATAAGTGAAGACAAGAACCCAGTTACACCTGAGTGCAGAGCACTTCAGGAGAACTAGGTCGTCTGAGGCTACAGCTAGCCTTGTTTGCCTGGATTGTTACTGAATTCTATTTGCTCAGGAGAAACCTGGCATTTGATAGTCATTGGTGTTGGTTAAGTCACAAATGACACTCACAGGCCAACCCTTTGGGGATGCAAGAGAATGGTCAGAGGTGCTGCCATAGTCCTGATTTGGGGGACTCTGAAGAAACCAGGTCCAGCCATTTGCCTCCAAAAAAATCAAATGGAAAAGGAAAAAATAACAGCGAAGAAAGGAATTTATTCCATACAGCTCTACTGGGAAGATGGAGGGGGGTGGGATACAAGTGTGCTCAGCTCCCCTGGTAAGGGACAGATCATACCACTATATCCCTCTAAGAGCACACTCGTACTTCATATTGTAAAAAAGAGTCTGCATGTACCCACTGAGAACAGCTTCTTTGTTTTGAGTTCATCTTTAACCCAGATGTAATCCGAGTGGCGACTTGATTCCAGAGGGATGCAGGGATTTGAGATCCAGTGACCTTGGTGTTTCTGACACTTCCCCTTTGATCTGGTTGATAAGTACTTCAGGTCTGGTTCTGTGTGTTCCTGAGAAGTCTTTATAAGGGAGGGGTCAATTCCCTTAGCCATCACAGGACTGCTTCTACATAGCGGGACAGTGTTGGTCCTTCATAGGACAACCTGGCCAATAGTTTTACCACACATGGACATTTTGCGTGGCTACTCTTGGAATCTTGAGGGGAGAAAAGCTCACACCTTATTTATGTATTTTTTAAGTGGGGTTTTATGTACCCTAGGCGGGTTTTGAACTTGCTGTGTAGCTGAGGATGACCTTGAGCTTCTGGTCTGCCTGCTGCCACCTCCCCAGGGCTAGGATTACAGGTGCCCACAATCATGCTCAACTAATGCGGCACTTGGGGATCGAACCCAGGGCTTGGTGCAAGCATTCTGCCCACTGAGCTTTGGCATTTATTATTTATTGACATATGCCTGCTATGTAGCCCAGGCTAGCCCAAACTCTCAATTCTCCTTCCCTGGAGCATCCTGGCCACTAACTCCTCCTGTGTTGAGATTACAGGAATGTACCACCAGGTTTTTAAGTGTCTTGTCACTAACATATCTTAAGAGATAAAAAGTTAGTCTTATCTTGGTGTTTCAGTCATAAATGAGGAAAGAGAGATTAGGTAATTCTAGGACTTAAAATAGTAATACAATCCACCTTGTCTTAACAGTTTTTAAGCATACACCCCTTAACTGAATACATGCAGAGCTGCTCAGAACCTGACCCAGGGTTTAAAGGAGACAGATAAGAAATGAAAGCGGAGACTGCCCAGCTTGGAGCTACCCGCGGAGCCCAGGCTAGGAGATCGGAGCTCAGCGTCACTGCGCCCGTAGTCACAGACGCACGCCTAGAACCGAGGCCTTCCGCACCTGCGTGCTTCCGCGGCGTGGGAACGCGCGCGGGCGCGCCCTCTGGCGGCGGCGGCGGCGCGCTGCACCCGGCGCGCGCGGGAGCGAAGGCGCGGGGCCGCGGGGCCGCGGGCGGAGCCTGTCCGGGGATGGCGGGTGACTTGCCGCGCTTCCTGCGGGCGCTGCCGGCCGAGAGCGGACCCGAGGCGGTGCGGACGCGGGTGCAGGAGCAGGACTTACAGCAGTGGGGCCTGACGGGTGAGCCGGCCGGCGAGGGGGGCGGGCGGGAGCCGGGAAAGCGCCGGGCGACACAGGCCTAGGCGGGGACGACCGGGCAGCCTTGGAGCGTCCCGGTCACTAACTCCTCCCATGTGCGCTTCCCCGCCAACCGTGCATGCGCACTCACTTGTTGCAGCTCCATCCGTAACTCTCAAAGCGTTGGACGCCGTGCCCGCCAAAAGTTTGTTCTGTAATTGCCTCCTAGGCTTCCATGTTATGGCCACTCGCCCTTACGAGCCCCATGGGTGGGGGACCCAACTTCTGGGGACACCAGGTGTTCCGAGCCCAGCTGTGTAGACTCCAGATGTGGAGACCCAGGTGTGCAGACCCCAGATGGACCCGGAGCCGCCGCTTCCGGCGGCGCCCACTCTGTTCAGCGCCCCCAGCACCCTTTCCTTGTGTATCTGCTGGGAATGTAGTGCTGGTTTAACGGAAAGTCAGAATGCTCACCAGTCGTCACCATGGGGTCGATATTTATTACTGCCGAGAGCAGAGCGTACTGTAAGGTGTGGGGTGCAGATAAGCAAAATAATACGGGTCCTCAGCCCCAGTTTCTTAACTAGTGGTTAAGTGCTTTTGAAAGTTTAAAGAAGCATTCACTTAACTTATACGATGTGCCAAGTACCACGAAAATGTGAGGGTTTTTTCTGCAAAGGCAAGGTGCCTTTCTGCCAGGAGGTGGCGCACGCCTTTACATTACTCAGGAGGCAGAAGCGGCCGGATCTCTGAGTTCCAGGCCACAGTCTACAGAGCGAGTTCCAGGGCAGCCAGGACTACCTAATAGAGAGACCCTGTCTGGGAAAAAAAAGTGCATTTCCTTCGGCTTAGAGGAAGGACAGATGCAGACGATGATGAGGTTGAAGAGAAAGGTGACTCCTAGAGTCCTGCCGACGAGGCAGTTCATAGCAATGTTTTTCTTTTATATCCAGCTTTTAAAATTTTATTTTTGAGATAATTATAACAACTCTCACCCACTTTCTTCCCTCCAAACACTCCCATATACCCTTCCTTGCTCTCCTTCAAATTCATG